ACCTGCGCCCACCCCCGGGTCTCCCGTCCGCGCGTGCGTGCCCTGCTCACGGGGGAGCGGGGCAGCACCGAATCGCCACCCGCTGCTGTGCAGCACCCCGGTGTCTGTGCACGGCATAAGCGCTAGTTGGAGTGACGATTTATTACTTTTTATTTTAGAAAGGGCTCTTAAGTTACCGAGTTTGATCCTGTACCAAAGCACAGACAGTGGTCCCGCTGCGGAGTTGTAAGAGAAATCCCCCGCCTTTGGCCGTACATCTCTTCTAAAAGGCATGTGGGCTTTGGGCATTGGGAGAGACAGAGAATCCATCTCTTCCCTTGGTGATTACCCGCCCTCACCAGCAAGCCTGTGCGTGTCATTTGTCATGAGCCCTTGTCCAGCCTGAGCATGTAACGGGTGGCCTGACCAAGCGCTGTTAACCTTAGTCCTGTCGCCCCCAGTTCCAACGCCGAGAGCTCCTTACAAAGGTCTCTTCCTTATGGCCACTTGCCAGGTTGACGCAGACGAGCAGCGGGGTGGGGAGCAGGAGGTGCACATGGAGTACTGCTGCCTGAGGATGTGTGTGCATGGAGAGCAGGGCAGAGGGGGGGGGAGGCTCTTCCTTGAGTTTCAGGTTTTCCTTTCTTCTGTACAAAGCTGCTTGGGTGCCTCTGAGCCTGGGTGGTACGTGCGAGAGCCACCGCTGAGCTCGGGCTACCAATTGCTGGTTTGGGTAGCATCAGTCTGAGCTTCTCCAAAGCCACTGTTCAGCTGTCCCCATGTTCAGGCCCTACATGCCAGAAGTCCTGGGCATGCTGAGCAACGGTTGCAAGAAGCTCAGCAGCTTTGTTAGTCTGTTATCCCACCAGGACTGGTGGTATTTCTCAATCAAAGGCCTCATGTGACAGTCCCAAAACATACATGTACTGAATTGGGTTTCTTATGACCACAGCCGGAGTGGGATTGCCAGAGCCTGCCCCCCTTGACCCCAGTGGCCCAGCAGCTGTAGCATGCCGGGAAAGAGGGAGAGGCAAGCTCAAATGCCCTCCAGCAGGAAAAAGAGAGGAACTATGTTTTTCTTGCTCGAAATGCCTGTTCTGGCAAAAAGTGGCTGCATCCCAGCTAACCGTGCTTGGTGAGGAAGAGCTTATGCCAGCCCTGACTCCAGGAGGGACTTCACAGCTGAGGAAAGCAGAAGGAGGGAGTAAGGGAGAGAGCTGCTCAAGACATTTTCTGCTGGCAGACTTAAGCAGTCTGATTTCAGTGCGCTGATACTCATGGACCATCCCTTGCACATGGTATGCATTAGGTATGCAGCGGACACCAAGACCGTCTGTTCTGTTTGACAGCAAGAACAAGAATCAGGTAGAACAGCTCACAACATTGCTACACCTAAGCCCTAGATACATACAGACTTGAAAAACATACCCCAGACTCGCTGACCCAGGAGCTTAAGTTGAAATGCCCTGCCTGGCATGCATCAACATGGCTGTTTATACTCTCAAGTGAACAAAGGCTCATTGTTAAAAGATGTGGCTTGCTTACTTCTTGAGTGGAGTGCCAAATTAGTGGGTTTTTTTCCTTTAAATATCAGTTGTATTCACTGAGTTACATAGTCACTGCATAATACTTGATCACATGAGGAACCAACAGATACTGATTTAAAAAAAAAAAACACAACAAACTTTGCCATGCCAAAATCTCCCATGAAAATTAGCATGCTAGTAGAGTAGATATTCCCACCCTAATTTCAACTGTATAAGCTTCTGCCTCACATGCATATGTATAGCACTCTGACCCTGCTGACCTGTCAGGACAAACTTGGACAGACAGGAAAAAAATATTTACCAGAATGAATAAAATAGATTAGAATTTATATCCTCATTTTTATATCTCATCACTGTTGTTCCACAGGGAGAGGCTCTCACTTCCCGGTAAAGGAGACCATAATGACACTCAGCAGCTATCTATCTATACAAAATTCACATAGTAGTTCCACTCCAAAGCCAAACCGAGTATTATTTGCAGTGAGTCACAATATTAACATGAAATCGGTTTCTAAGCAGCTACTCAAGCTGAACACCCCCAATCGGAGCAGAATTGATCTTCCGTGTGGTGGGATGAGGCGAGTCACCTACAGATGGCTGTTTCTCCCCCTTCTAACTGAAAAGGGAGCATGTAGAGTGGGATGGGGTTAGTTGTTCAAGTCTAAAGGTGGGCAGTGTGAATCCCACCCCTCCTATTTTTTTACTGCTTAGTATGTGTATTTGCTGTTCTCTAGTCATTTATGCCTTAGGGAGGAGAGGTGGAAAAAACCCTCTCTGCTTTTGCTTCCCTGGGAAAACTCCTTTGGGAAATACCCTGGGCTAGAACAGCAGATGACAGTTTTAGTCTTAGCAGGGAAGATTTTCCCAGAACAGAGTTAGCTTTTCTTTGCTTAACTTGTGGCTTTTTAACTAGGTAACAAACCAGAGGGTGGAAGAATCAGGACATACCCTGCAGGTAGAAGTGTGATGCTTAATGAGAGCTCACTTATATTTCTTCAGTGTTGCAGGATTGTGTCCTTCCCCTGTCCAGCCCCTTCTCCTGTTGCTCCACACAGCAAGTTCAGGAGCTTTCTGGCCTATGCAGGGGCCCAAATCCATGCAACAGCTAAAGCTTTCACGGCATCAGAGCTTGCACTCCTATTTGAAAATGAACTTATGTTTCCTAGCTCTTTGCAGGTACCGTCTTTATATCTAACAAAATGTTTTCATTTCCACTGGGATGCACTACATGGAGATCCCTAGAAACAGAGTCGTGTCAAGTACCGTGCTTGCTTGAGAGGTTGGACTACACTTCTGAAATATATAAAAGTAAAAGAAGCAGGCTAAGAGCTGGGACTCCATAACCCAGAAACGTGATGAGGAAGTGAGAAGACTAGTGGGAGCAGGATTAACTGCTTTGGTTTATCCCACTTTGTATTGCTGGTGCCAAAAATTCTTGACAGTATTTTGTTGCAGTCACAGTCTTTCCACCCTAAACTTCTCAAGCTGTAATTTCAGTTTTTCTATTTCTTTTATTATTTCATGTGTTTATCTTTCTCTTTCACTCAAAAGCTCCTCAGGAAACCCTGAGACACCACATCCCAGGGTAGGTGAGACTCCAGGTATTCACAGTCAGGGAGTTTGGTGTTCAGTTGGGACCATAGTTTTCCCTGCCTGTTTGTTCTTGGCCTAATTTGAATATTTAAGAGGGAGCAAAAAAACCCCACATGCTGCATTCACAGTGTAATTCAGAATAAATCTGAATGTATGTCCTGTAGCAGAGCAGCTCCTTTCCATGCACAGGTCCACTCAGGCTGACAGATCAAGGAGAGGGGGACTGGAGCCTTTCTTATCTCCTGACAGCAAGTAATAAACCACTTTGCATAACTTCTGCGTGTCTGTACTGAAATGGCAGGTTGGATGGGGCACTGCTGATGGTGTCGGGCCCCGGGCTTCCCCCGGTCTGGCCGCAGCACGGCCCCCGGTCGGGGCATTGCAGTTAACTGTAAATTGCCCTCCACACTGGAGAACACACACGAGTGGACATGCTTAACACTGCCCAACTCCGTCAAATCCATTCTGGTGCTTCAAGGCCCTGAAGATACATGTCCTTCCAGAAGGAAGTTGGAGGCCTTGGGACCCTCCCCTCTAGTTCAAGGGAGACCCCAAAGAAGTGCTCTTCAGGAGCACTGGCCATTCAACATTTCTCTGTGAAAGCTATTCCTGCAGGGTTGATTGCTTCATTTAGGTCTCCTGGGGCTAAACCTGCGTCTTAGCTTTGCGCCCTTGTACCTTGGCCTGCTTTAATGAAGCAAATTGTGGGAACTCGGAGGAATTGATTGGTCTGTCTGCCAGATAGCACAGACGAGGGGTAGATGACACGCAGCAGCCTTGAGCAGCGGCTCTGTGGTTTCCCTTCTAGCATACTGAAGGGGTGATTTGGGGTGAAGGGCAAGGGAAGAATGTAAATCATCACTATCCTGAACACACAAGACCAGGCATGTTGTCCTGTTCCCTTTCCCCTCCATCACCCATGACTGCAGGGACTCTGGACAAGGCGGATGGGGAAAGTGGTGGTGAACAGCTTTGCATTAGTGATTCGATGCACCACTAGCAGCAACCAGGGCGACACAGATCCCTGTGATCATGGAGCTGTCTCGTGATGGCTGAGCTACCTCGCGGGAGGAGGAAATGACTCAGGTTCCCGTGGCCGGCTGGCCGCAGGGCAGCACCCTGCAGCACAGGACGGGCTAGGTGCAGCAAAAAAATGAACTTACAGCATGGAGCGCTTTCCTTACTTCAAACTACTCATAGCAAACATTTGCTTTCGCTGCAGTTACCCTTATGTAGGTTTTTTTACTAAAAAAATACCCAGCAGACTGTCAAACCCGCAGATTATATGAGAAGGAAGGAGGGTGCAGAGATGTGAGGAGGGATGAGCGTGCTGCCTTCTACTTCCCCTTCAGCAGAGATCAGACTATTTTCAGAATGATGTGTCTTGTAACTGGAAGCACTGGCAGCCCCAGCATTAGTAAGGTAATGGAGGAAGGGCTTAGCTTGTGTGGGTTTATTCACATAGGGGGTGCTTTTTGCTTTTTTTTTTTCCTCCCCTTTTTGTCACACAGCAAGGACCAGCAGGAACATGTGCTACTGCACTGTTTTGTTTCTACCTCAGCTCTGGCTCAAAATGGCATTGTGGGGTGCATGTGCCCGTGTAACTAATCCTCAAGAGAGCAGCTGTGCAGTCAGAAACGGGAGGTTTGCTCCCAAAACCACAGATCTCCTCCCTGGTCCTGCATCCAGCTTGGCATCAGTTAGCTCCCAGGACCCAGAGGGACAGAAGGGAGGGGTCCTGGTACCCCTTCAGCTGTCACTGTATGGTAACTCCTGAGCAAGTACTGCGTAAGAGCAGTTTCAGACCAGCT